TCCTAGGGTTTTGGAGATAGACCCCCATAACCATATATATTCTGAAACTACTTTACTCAGGGTACTTGGATAAGTATATTTCATTTTGATCAAAGGGGTCCACACCACCACTGAAATTTTTTTTACCCTTTGATTCAAGTTAAATGTAAACAAGGGAATGACTCCTATCCAAAATATAGAAGTAGAAAGGCAGAAGATGGAGAACACATTGGTAAGATCATTGAAATGCATCATTTTTCTCCACAAATTTAACACTGATTTAAAATCAATTACCATTTTCTTTATAAAAAAAAAAAAAAAAAAAAGGATGACATACAGTAAGGTGCAGGTAATTCGGCTAGTGTGAATGCATATACATATATTATATATATATATATATATATATATATATAAAAAAATTAATGGCTTTTTATTTATTAATCTGATAAATTTTTTTTATTATTTTAAATGTTATTTTTAGTGGATGCCTATATTTGAGTAGATGATCCGTTTAATTTAAACAGAATTTTATTTTGACTACCAGCCTGAATATTTGAGAAATGTGCCCCCATCTCCCCCAGCAGGGTTTGAACCTGCATCTCCCTTTGCAGGAGAAACCATCATTTGATCCTAAATTCTACCACTTAGCTGTGAAGAGTTTCATACTCAAGCAAGGTTCTATCTGTCTCCAAACCACGGATTCCCCTGCAAAAGCATTCTCAAATGTTCAGGCCATTAGACTAAATAGAATATTGTTTAAAATAAAGTGTCTACTCAAATATGGATATCCACTAAAAATAATAAGTAATATATTACTTTAAACATTATTTTTAGTGGATATCCATATTTAGGATATATAAAATAACCTTGTATGGTAGGGGAATGAATAAATCTATCTTTCTGCAGACGATACAACTAATCAAACTAAACACCGAGAAAAAGCTTTTTGAAACTGATTTAAAGACTTATTTTTAAAAAGATTTTTTAAAGTTCTGCCATGACTCTAGTATAGAGTGAATTATAGGATTTAGTGTTATAAATGGGGTCAGTGCACTATGTTAATATATTACTGGGTATGGAATGGTTAGTTGGTGCAAATACTATGGATTATTTCACCAATAAGACATGATGGTAACTGGACATTAGTGAACATGGTACAACATATGGTATGGTTATGATTTTATACATGCCTATCAGCCTATTTTATTGAAAATGACAAAGAGAAGAGAAGAAAGAAGAAAAAATGATGACAGAAAAAGAAAAAAAAGAAAAGACAAGATCTGCAGTACTATAGCAATCACTATTTTGTTAAAAACTAGTTTATATAAAAGCTAATGTCACACTAAGTGCACAAAACCCAATCATTTTGATGTTATTTTTTTAAGAAAAAAAATAAAATGTTCCACTGTTAAAATTTAACAATCCACAGTTGAAAGTGTTGGTCTTGGAGATAACACATATAATTTCAAAAGACTTATCTCTTGACTTCAAGTTTCACAGATACACTATTCGTTGGGGTAGGATAAATCTAGTGCAGTGGTTCTCAACCGGGGTCTACATGGACCCTAGGGGTCCATGTAATATTTCCGGGGGTCCACAGGCAAAACACAATTGTTGTGTTAATTAAAAATAGCAATAATAATTATTATTATAATTATAGTAGAATATTTTATTTGTATTAAATTAGTTTTCATTTAAAAATAAAGCTTAATCGTATACTATTTCTTTG